CCCGCAGCCCCGGCCCCCGCCGCCCCCGCCGCCGGGCGAGAGGACGCCGGCCGAGCGCGCCTACGCCAAGCCGCCCAGCCACCACGTGAAGGCCGGCTTCCAGGGTCGGCGCAGCTACTCGGAGATGGCGGAGGGCGCGGGCTACGCGGGGGCCTCCCCGCCCTGGCTGCAGGCCGAGGCGGCCACGCTGCCCAAGCCGCGGGCCTACGGCGGCGAGCTCTACGGGCCCGGCCGGCCGCTCAGCCCGCGACGCGCCTTCGAGGGCATCCGGCTGCGCTTCGAGAAGCAGCCCTCCGAGGAGGAGGAGTGGGCCGTGCCCACCAGCCCGCCCAGCCCCGAGGCGGGCACCATCCGCTGCGCCTCGTTCTGCGCGGGCTTCCCCATCCCTGAGTCGCCGGCCGCCACCGCCTACGCCCACGCCGAGCACGCGCAGTCCTGGCCGTCCATCAACGTGAGTGGGGCGCCCGCTTGTCACCTGAGGGCCGGCCGAGGCCCCTCGCCTCTCAGGGGCAGCCTAGGCCCGTTACTTCTCTCTCCGGGCCTTTTGCTTGCGTAGGTGGGGCCTGCACCGTTACCTCTCTCTCAGGGCGGCGGTTAAGGGCATGGGCTTCAGAGTGACAGTCCCAGCTTTGATTCCGGACTTCACCGCTTAGCAGCTGTGGGACCTCGGACAGGTCACTTATCCCACCTGATCCTCAGTTGTCATATCTGCAAAATGAGGGCAGTGATTATATGATCTAGTTCCATTGGGGAGTCCCTAACAGGGAGGCAGTGAGCCTGAAGCCCTCTCCTGTTAGACTGGTGATGGAGGCCGTGCTGACTGCCACAGGTCTGGGGCCCACACAGGGCCAGGCCTGCTCATCCAGTTCCCTCCATCTGGTCTCAGAGCCCCTGCTCTTTTCCGGCTGTCCTAGAAGACAGCCTATCTCAGGGCTCTATCATTTCACTGAAATAATGAGTTTCCCGAATGTCAGAGCCAACCCTTGCCACCTGGAAGGACCAAAATATATTCTAAAGCCAGACAGAAAATTATTTTTGGGTTGTACATTGTTTGGGATTATCCATTGCTTTGAGTTATCTGGGAGCTGTGTCTTAGTCACTCTGGGGGCATGTCTGGGTCTTGGCCTCCCTCATTACCGTAGATGACCTGGCAGGCTGAGCACACGCACCTCCTGGGGCCGTAGGCCCTGGGTTGGGGGAGTGGATGCTGAGCTGGTGGGAGGTGGGCAGGGAATGGGGAGAAGGAGGAGTGGTGCTGGACAGAGGGTGACCAGACCCTTTCTGCATGCTGCAGCCCTCCCTGCCCTGGGTCTCGGGAAAGGGCAGGCGGGGCTGTGGGGACCGTGAGGGAGGGCTGGGGACCATAGCTGACTCCCCTCTCTCTCCACAGCTGCTGATGGAGACAGTGGGCTCTGAGATCCGCAGCTGCCCCCTCTGCCAGCTAGGTTTCCCTGTTGGGTACCCGGATGATGCCCTCATCAAACACATTGACTCCCACCTGGAGAACAGCAAGATCTAGGGTGCCTCCCCCACCCCCTGGCTGTTTCTCCATCTTCTCTCATCACCCCCACTCACTCACTCACTTTGAATGCTGCATGAATCTCGTGGGGGGCCCTTGCCCCTTGCGACCCCCAGATACCTCCACTAGCTACCGAGTCAACGTGTGTGCCGTCTTCCCTGGTCCAGGCACCACTCAGCCCTGGCTCTTCCTGGAAGGCCAGCCGAGGCTGTCCCCAGCTCCCTGGCTTCCACTGGGGAGGTGAGGATCTGGGCTGAGATGGGGAGGGGCGTACCCCACCCAGCCTCTCTCTCTGCCTTTCTGTTCTCAGACAGGGTTGGATCCGTCGCCACCGCCCGCCTGCCCGCCCCGCTGCTTGGGCCTGGGGGAGGGGGAGGGTATCAGAGGACTCCAGGAGCTCCCCTAGCCACTCCCCGGATGTCCATCTTTCTCAGGCTGTGCTCTGTCCAGGGAGCGCCTCCCTGTGGGGTCCCAGAGCCTGCCTTGCACACTGATGCCAGTTCCTCCATCCCATGGCCAGCTCGGGGCTCTTGGCATGGGCCCCTCCCCCTTGGGGGAAGGAGGCATCTTGTTTCTTGCCATTCCCTGCAGGCCGGTCTTGTTCTCCTCTACTCCCCTGGGGAATAAGGAGGGTGGGAGAGGAGAGGGAGGACCCTGGAGGACTGGAGGGATTCAGCCTAAAGAGGCCGCCCTGAGGGTGGGGATGAGAGGCGGGGGGGCCATCCTGCAACTTGACCCTCAGGCCAGGGGAGTATCTGTGCTAGCCTCCCAGGCCCCTGCCTCCCCCTGGAGCCCCTAGCACCAAGACGCAGATTGTTAAGACAGATGCTCCCCTTCACCCTTACCCCTCTCGAGTCCCTGACACCACAGGTGCCCTGGAGCCCGTGTGTGACTCGGCCTCTGATAGCTGGGTGGGTGTCATCATCCCTGCCTCCCAGGCCAGAACCTGTGGATGGGCCCAGGGTGCTGTTGGAGATCAACTTCAAAAGAGCTAACCCCCTTCCCACACCCCAGCGACCCACATTCCCTCTGTGAAATCTACCTCAGAGTCGTACCCTCAGAAGGATGGGTAAGCAGGAGGCCAGGGGGTCCCCAGGGCTGAGGTGGGGAGCTTCCTATGGCAAGAGCCTGCTGCCCCACGATGAATCCAACCCCCCCACTGCGAGCCTCTCCCAGGTCTCAGCCCCGGGCTGGTGGCAGTGGGCGCTACTGTCAGTGCATGTACCATTCTGATCCAACACTTCCAGGCACCCCCGCCTCCTCACACCCCTCCCCTCCTCCTCAGTGCAGGGGAGTGAAGAGGTGTATCAGGCAGGAAGGGGCCAAGGACTCCAGAGACATGGCATTGTACCTTGAGTGTTCCCCCAGGGAGGGGAAATGAGAAGGGGGCTTGGAGAGGGGAGGTGGGGGCCCCTGAGCTCTCTGAACAAGTTTAAAGTCCAAATAAAACTTACCTGTTCCATCTGCTCTTGGTCTGTGCCCTCCGTGGCTGGGGTGGGAAGAAAACCCTTGGTAGCGGGAGGTCTGGCAAAACCCAAGGAACCACAACTATGGCAAGGTGGGCCATGTTTCCTTTATTTTGATGTTTATTTATTTTGAGAGAGAGTGAGAGCAAGGGAGGGGCAGAGAGAGAGGGAGAGAGAGAATTCAAACAGGCTCCATGTAGTGCCGAGCCCGCCCCGGGGCTCGAACTCACAGACCAGGAGATCATGACCTGAGCTGAAATCAGGAATCGGCCACTCAACTGGCTGAACCACCCAGGCACCCTGACATGGAGTGTATTTAAAAGAGATCCGGAGCAGTAAAGGGTGTCTTTGTGACAATGCAGCCAGCCACCCAGCCCTGAGCAGCTGTCTGGGACTCGAATTTTCCCTCCCAGTAGGTCTGGCAGGTAGAGGTTCTGAAGCCTTGGGGCTTCAGCAGCAGCTGTTTCTTCATCAAATGATTTTTGCATGCCAGGAACCAAGCTGGGCCTCTAAGAGAAAGAACATCCGTGTTCCATGTCCTCGTGGTTCTGAGAGCAGGAGAGGGATTGGATCCCAGGCTCAGCAGCTGCCTTGAAAGCCCCACAGACTGGGAGGTCAAAGCCAGGCCATGAACCTGTGACTTCTGCCCCAGACGGGGCGGTGCCCTCTGTGTGCAGGAAAGGCCTCAGCTGTATTCACCAACTCTGGGTGCCTTTCATTTCCATGTGACCCTTTCAGGCCCAGGATTCACTTAAAAGCCTGGAACAGTTGCTCATCGAAGTCCCAAGGTTCAGCTCCAGATGCAGGATTCCTCCCCATTCAGCACCAAGGTCCAGACCCCAGTGGGGAGATGGCCCAGCTTCCCCTGCTCCTCTGTTGCACTTAACGACTACAGCTGGCTTCTAAAAGTTCTTCCAGCCTTGATTCCATCTGCAGCCAAATCCTGAGTGCCAGGAAAGGTGAGAATAGCCATCCCTATGGGACATGGCTTCATAAGCCATGGGAGAGAAGGTTCTGGAGCCTTGTGGAACATAGGCACTCAGTGCAACCTGGGTCTCCTCCATCTCGGTCAGCTCCTGTGGAAGAAGGCAGCACCCAGGTTTCTGGGTCTGGGTCCTCTTTGGATCTCTGGAAACATTTGCTAGAAGGGCAGGAGTGAGTTAGGGGTGGTACAGGGACACGAGGCAAAGAGAAATCCCATTCATTGAGGAAAGGGGGAAAGGATGACCCGGAATGAGCTACAGGTAGGGGCATGACCTAGGTAGCCACTTCTGGTCCTTGGCATGTCTGAAGGCGCGAGGGAACCCAGGTATCCCACACCTAGACATCTTCCGGGTCACTGGGGTGAAGGGCGCATGGGGACAGAGGGTGCGTATTCTGGCAGTTTGTCTCCTTGATTTTTAGGGACTTGGGAAGGGGCTGGCTCAGTTACAGGGCAGAAAGTTGCTACGGGCTGGGTAGGGAAGGGGGGAAAGCTAGTGTCCCCAGCCCAGGTCCTTCAGAACTGCAGGCTTTCATTTAATGACCCCCCCCCCCATAGGAGAGGACGTGAGAGGTGGGGGGGGGTGCTGAAGGAGGACTGAGAAGCCCTGCCCAGAACACTCATCGCTCTCCTCCCAAGTGGGATGGTGATCAGGCAGGACCCTGGCTGCTCTGGCTACCTGTGGCTCTGTGGGAGTAATGCGGGGGGCATGAGGGGCTGAGAGAGTGTGGGGGCAAGGGATCCAGATCACCAGGCTTCTGGAAAAGTGAGGAGGATGACACAACTTTCATAGGGGTAAAGTGGAGGGAAGACCCCGCCGCGTCTGGAGAAGACGCCCAAGGGATTCGCTCGCTCTCGCCAGCACAGACCCAGAGCCAGATGTGGTAGGAGTCAGGAGGACTTCACAGAAACCAAGCTGCCGTGGGTCTGTCTCCAACTGCCCAGTGAAGGTCCAGCGCCCAACAACATTCTCTCCAGCTCCAGCTGCTCTGCCCTCAGTCCCTCCTTCACCCACGACCTGCCTCGTCTTTGGGGACCCTGCAGTCCTGCCCCTCCCCCACCAGGATTTCCTTAGCCAGACCTTCCAGGCCATGGAGACCCCTGTCCCTCTTCGGGGTCCCCGTGGAGGCTGTCAGGTGATCCCCTGAGGAACGAAACAGCTCCTTTCAGAAGCTGGTGGTGTGTGTGCATGCACGCATGTGCATGTGCGGGAATGTGTGGGTGCGTGTGTGTGTGTGTGTGTGTGTGTGTGTGTGTGTGTGTGTCAGGGGAGAAGCTGATCGCTGACAAAGAGGAGGGGTGTGTGGGTGAGTCAGCCGTGTTAATGAGAAACGACTCACCCTGCTGATTAGGACTAATGCAGAACAGAGGGGGTGGGGGTCTCACTCAATGACATCTTTATAGGGTAGGGGTGAACAGGCCAGCTCCCGCAGTCCGTTTCTCCCTCAGCAAGGACAGGAGCAGAGCAACCTTGGCTTCTGCAGGAAGAATTGAGGTCAGACACGAGGATGAACACAAGGAGGGCTCTCTCACTGGGACGGGGTGGGACAGGGTGTCTGGGAGCAGAGGCCAGCTCTTGTGGGGAAAACTGAGGGATCTTCCAGCACACTGCCCCTGTTCCTGCCCTTCCTCCAATTTCTCTGGGTGGATTCCAGAGAAATTCTTGGCTCTCGGGGCTGTGGCCCCTAGTTGCCCGCGTGCCTTTAAGGTCCAGCTGTGTCTGCAGGGCCTTGAGGAGGTTCCAGCCTGCAGCGCCCCCTCCCAAGGCAGCCTGGAGAGGAGGCTTTGGTCCGGGGCACTGACCGTCTATACAGATGTTAATGACCCGGGGAGGCCTGGCCAGGCGGAGGGCAAGAGGGGGCTGGGGCAGGGGGGAGGCCCCGGGCATCAGCTGGCTGCCCTGTCCCTGTGGCAGAGGCAGGAGCCCCTGAGAAGCCACAGCTTCACCCGCGCCCCCCCCACCCCGTCCATGCCAATTCTGCCAAAGGCAAGGGCACCAGGCGTGCCTCACAGATGTTCCAGTTGGCTGTGAGAGTGTGGGCATGGGGGGAGGGAGGGGAGAGGCTGGGAGTGGGGACAGGATGGGTGTTGGCCAACACCTCCTAATTTGCATTACCACTGACACCCTTCTTGACCAAGAAAATGGAGCTAGAAATAACAAGGGGGGGGGGAGGTAGTTCCCTGGGGGGCTCTTTGAGGTTCCCTTTCCTTGCCTCCAACACTCCCACAGTGCAGGGAGGGAGGCAGGAGGTCAGGCCTTTTCCAGGCCCACAGCTGGCCCCTGTTGGGGGTGGGGGTAGTGCACCCACTGTCGCTCCTTCCTCCTCAGAGTGGGCAGACACCCCATCCTGACCTCCCACTTCCTTCGGCCCAGACACCCCAGATGCCCCAGACACCCAGCCCTGCCTCAGTCCTTCTTTGGAGCATAGTCCGCTCACCCTTCCCTCCTCCAGGAACGTGAGCCGAGCTCTGCCCTCACTGTTCTCTTCAGTCTGCGTCCTGCTACCCTGTCAGATTGGGCATTTCCCAGGGCAGGCCTATCCTGGGAACTGCTCAAGGGAACATTCTGCATGACAAATAGTCCCAACAATAGCAGGGGGGCTTGTGAGTAGATTCTAGCAGTGGCCGGAGGTGGACCAGGGTCCAGTGCGAGGGCTGTTGGGTGGGAGGGAGCGGGGACCCCCAGCTCTGTGAGAGGCCTGTGGTCCACTTTTACCTGGAGGGAGTTTCCGTGCCAGACCTCTCCTTTGTGAGTTCCTTGGAGAAGAGGACCAGGACTGTGGCATCTAGACATATTTCTCACCCACCTCAGCGAGTACTGCGTAAACGCCCCCCCCCCCCCGCCCCCCTCCCACACACACAAGCGCATTTGGTGCTCATTGATGTGCATTGAATTCACTTCTGTCCCAAACAGGATACGGAATGCCGCGTGGCAGCCACAGCCTGAAGGTGGGAGACGGGCCGAGCTAGGAAAGGAGGCTCCCTCTCGGCCAGAGGGGTCCTGGACCTGGAAGAGCCAAGTGGTGAGGGTGGCGGCAGAGCAGAAGGGCCTGGCAGGGAAACCAGGTCGCGAGAGACAGCCCAGAGAGCTGTGAACACGATGTGGGAAGGAGCGAACGGTGAACTGAGAACTCCCCCTGCTTCCCCCCCTCCAGAGATGCTATTTTGGAGGGAGAGAATATATATGCAGTGCAGGGGGCAAGGCAGGGGGAGTCTGCTGGCTTCCACGAGGGTCAGCCAGACCACCTGCTGCCTCCACTCTCCTGCCAGCTGTCTCCACTGGCCCTGGAACCCGTCCCCGCCTCCAAGCACTTCCCTCCCCATCGGAAAAGTCTTCTTGCTCTCTTGAACACAAGAGAAAGAAGCAGCAGCTAGGAGATTAGCAGCTGGCCCCTTGGTACCCCTTTGAGGGTCTCCTGAGGCCTCAGACCTAGGGGGAAGCTTCTATTTCCAGTCCTTCCTTGGAAAGAAAATGTGGAGGGTACTGTGAAGCAGGGGACCAGTATAGCTCGTGGGCCTCAGCACTTCTTTCCCCCAAGCCCCTACTTAGGCATTCTGCATGGATCCCCCCCCCCCTTAACCTCACACTTAGGGAGCGAACTTGGTGTTAAAAGAGACCAGGGCGGGGCGCCTGGGTGGCGCAGTCGGTTGAGCGTCCGACTTCAGCCAGGTCACGATCTCGCGGTCCGTGAGTTCGAGCCCCGCGTCGGGCTCTGGGCTGATGGCTCAGAGCCTGGAGCCTGTTTCCGATTCTGTGTCTCCCTCTCTCTCTGCCCCTCCCCCGTTCATGCTCTGTCTCTCTCTGTCCCAAAAAATAAATAAATGTTGAAAAAAAAAATTAAAAAAAAAAAAAAAAAGAGACCAGGGCAGAAGGCGCTTCCACGACCAGCAGCTGGCTTTGCCCACAAGAGAGCGGACCCCTCCAAGTGCGGGAGCCAGTCTTGCCCCTTCTGGGCCAAGAAGGCCGGACAGAGGTTGATGTCAAGTAGAGCCCTTGCTTGACATGAAGGGAAATTCCT